TCCGTCCTTGTCCCAGCAGGGAGGCTGCGCTGGGATGTGATTTAAGGGGCATTAATTTTAGCAGCAGCAGCAGCACCCAACACCACACGCCATGGCAGCGGCGCATTGCCATGAAATTCATGGGCCCATTACAAACACGTCTCTATAAATAACTCCCCCCATTAATCTCAGGGCTGCACCCAGGGCTCTAGGATGGTTTTTGCTGGATTGTCCTGGTGCAGGGTGGGTGCAGCCCCCGTGCTCCTGGCTGGGTCCCAGTGATGCCCAAGGAGAGGCTGGAAAAGCCCCTGGAAGGCTCCAGGCTCCCACCAACCTGAACCCACAGGAGCCTCGGGCTGGAATTGCTGCTGCGGGAGTTCATGGCAGAGCCCTGGGGACAGCCAAGGTCAGGCCAAGCCCCAAGAGCTCTCGCCCTGTGTGCCAGCGGGTGCCCTGGATTAAAAGGTCCCTTTTTTGTTTCCCAGCACTCTGATAAACCCAAGGGGGTGCTGAGGGCTCGTCTCCACGGGCAGGACTCGCTGCGGCTGCAGCCACCTTGGCCATCCCCACCCAACCGACCGCTCCTCAGCAGGCAGAGCCGCTGTCAGCTCTTTTATTCCTTCACAAACCTCCCAGACAAATGCTCAGGCACCCTCGGAGCACAACAAACCACCTTGGGGTCTCACCACAAAGGTCACCTGTCTCTGCTGGAGGATTCGGGACCCTCCAAGCAGCATTTTTTTTGTGCAAAGCCAGGGAAGACGGGCAGCGAGCAGCCGGCTGTGAAACGTCCCTGGTTGTTGTTTGCTCTCATTCTGCCCGTGCTCCCTGGGTCTGTGCCCGGGATGTTTTGTGAGCTCTGCTCCACGAGGTGCAATCAGCTGTAAAGGTTCAGGTGCTTGTGCAAGCCAGGTGCCCTCCAGCAGCAGAAGAACATCCAGAAAGCTCTGATGCCTCCCACAGCCACCAAAGCACGGCAGTGAGAAGTCGTCCTCGTGATGTGAGCCTGCAGCCACCCTCTTCTGCCGGAGCCCAGTAACAAGGCACGGAAGGAACAGCTTGCTTTCCTGACCCAGTTGAATGCCCATCTGAATCAATTAAATCTACAACTACCGGGGAAAGACCAGCCCGTGATGGATTCGTGTTCAGCTGTGCACAGATTGCGACCACGAGCTCCGATTTAACTCTTTCAGCAGCCGCTAAATAGTAGGAACGAGTCTGTTCCGAGGGAGAAGCTGCTCAGCTCTTGCAAAGCTGGACCTTCACAGAATTTAAGGACTGTGCATTCCTCTGGATCCGATTTTTGCAACTAAACACACTTCTCCACGGCCAATGGCTGTTTTGGGGTAAATAAACTCATTCCAGGCTCCACACCAAGCCCCTCACAGCATCCCAGTGTGTCCCAGCGCTGCGGGGCGACGGCACCAACAATACAGCACGGGGCAGGTGACTGACCAGACGGGCTCCGGGCCAGTGACTGTGCCCACAAACATCACCACAGTTCAGACAACGGAGATGTGTTTATGAGATGAATCTTTAGGCTTTCCTGAAAGCAAAATACCGAAAACCTGCTTATAATAAATGTAAGAGGGTGGCAACAGCATTACGGCCACGGAAACAAGAGATTTCAGGAGTTTCTATCAATGTAGGCAATTTTCTAGTTCTGTTAAAAAGAATTGAAACTGGGTGGCAAAAGAACATTCACAGAACAACTTTAATGTTAAATAGTTCACAAAGTTGGTTAAAGGAGTTATTTACATTGCATTATTTGAAGGGTCTTTCCCCGTTGCATCTGCGCTGCATTTGCACATATAAAATATTAAAAAAATTAATATCATACTATAAAATATTGTTTCTCTTGTTTCGCAGTTATCATGGAAGACTGTACAGTGAAGACTGGCCTCCGTGCTGCAGACAGGGCTCCCCTCCCGAGGCAGCACCCACCCCAGCTCCGGGAGGGCTGAACCCTTCGAAACCGAGAAGTTAAACACAACAGGTCAGCGACACACGGACCTCTCTGCATTAGTGTTTGTCCCTAAACTACGTGTTAAGGCTCAGAAAGTTTTCTCTCTACAAAAGCAAGGTAGGACACTAGGAGAGCTCAGGCTGCAGCAGGTGGGATCCCGCTCTGCCCCGGGACCCGCAGTCCCGGGACTGGGAGCATCTTCCAGACACAAAATCCACAGCAGCAGCGCAGAGCTCCGGCTTCAGCGACTTGGAGAGACAATGAAAGACACCTCTGGTGAACTGAACCAAAACCGCAGCTCTGGTTCCCAGTCATCCCATGCAGGTGTTCCCTGATGTATTCAGGATGGACAAGGCCAAAATAGTTACAATTCCCAGTACAAAGTAGGTCTTAATTTTTATTTTTTAAAGAATAATCTTAAGAAAAGGTGAAGGCAGTGCCCAGGGCTGAGAGAGGAAGAGCAGACCCAGACCCACGGCGGACGCGGACTGTTCTGGCAGGCGGGAGGATCCTCTTCTCTCCCTTCAACCACAGAGATGCTGCCTTGGTTTTCAAAACACTGCGCTGACTACAGCAAGTAATTTCCAATAAAACGTATGCAAAGCTGGAAAGTACAGTTAAACAAAAATATTTTTGAACAAAACAAACCACAACAGACCTGACTGTCTCAACGGTTCTTTGCAACTCGGCTCCCCTGCAACGGCTGCTGTTCCCTGGCTCACGGTTGCCTCCTGCACTTCAGCAACAGAAGTGAAACCATCTGGGACTGCAGCCTCCCCCCAAAAGAACTGTGCATCATATGGACCTTGGAAAAGATTACATCTGTTTATTAATAGTAAAAATGGATACATTTGTCCTACATTTTGTTTTTAGAAATTTGATCATGTCACAAGCAATACCTGTGTGTACGAGGGTGTATTACAGATGTATATAATTTATTTTAACCAGGCTGTGAAATAATACGTAATCACATCTCTTCTTGTGATTGTACATAATACAGTAATTAAATGATGCCAGTCTACGTCATTCTCTTATTTCTAATCAAAGGAACCTGAAGCGTAACAGTCTTCTTTCCGGCTGATATGGCTCTTGATTTTTGTCACAGGGGAGACTTCCCATCACTGACGGGATCATCTTCCAACTGCGCCAGACGGGATAATTCAGATTTCCTCCCCGGCCGCCCCTGCCCGTTGGCAGCTGGGGCACCGCAGTCCTGGCTCAAGCCTGGGCGGGGGGGAGCGTCTCCTCCGCCGAATCCGGCAGCCAGGCTCTCCCTGAGGCCAGGCCTTACTGCTGTCCCGACTTCTTGTCCTTCTGGAAGCTAAAGCTTGTTCTCCTGCTCAGTTTTCTTTGTTTCTGAGCAAAATAATCTGCTCTGGCTGTGCTCGCTCGCGACTCGAGAATATAGTTAACCTGCAAGACATGAAATGGGATTGAATTTCCTTGGTGCTTCAGTGGGACAGGCTGGGGAGGGCAGGGACCCTCGCACCTCCCAGCTGAACGAGGCTTCAGTGAACTGGTCCCAGTGGGACGGCAGGGACAGCCCGGCTCTGCGCGGGGCCGCTCCCCAGTTCTCCCCGCCGTGGTCTCAGCTCAGCACAGGGCGGCCAGGGGCTCTCAGCACCCCTCTCCCTTCCTCCTCCCACCCCTGTCACCCAACCTCTGGGTGAATGCAGCGAGTCGTGGAGACCCAGAGTGCCGGTCTAATATAGCAACGGGCTTCAAGAAAAGACTTCATCAGCTTCAATAAAAATAACTCTTTCATTATGATGTTTGCATACTCAGCTAATCTCATAGTTTCCCTGTGTTTTGGCACATTTTACTTGATGAAAGCATTTTTAAATGATATTTAACAAGCCTGCTATTCCCTAAATTTATTATCTCCAGTGCTTTGTGATAATCACATAGATAATTTTAATGGAAGGTTAATGCAAGAATCAAAAAGATAAAAATGCCCTTTGGTCTGCCATTAGCTGGTTAATATGCTGTGGCTTAAAACTTGCACAATTTTATGCACTGTAGAGTGTTTCACTTTCATTGCATATTACAGCTTAAGGCATAAAAATATAGGGAATTTTCATGGTCAATAAAGCCTTGGTCTTTCTCACTTGATCATGTAAAAAGCCTAATTTGAAAAGTCTGATTTCTCTGTGTCTCCCAATGCTGGTGGAATTGAAAACAAACTGGTAACGTAGGCATGAAACCAGAAAATGTTCTATATAAACAACCTGCGACTCAAGAAAAAAAGTACTGTTCAATAATATTTCTCTTCTGAATATTCATGTTATTCATAGGAAAACTTGGGTTTTTAGCCTTCTTTTATGACCAGTCTCAGACGTGTCAAGTGTTCTGGATTACAATAGCTTATTTAAGATAAAGCAGGAACAGAATAATTTGCCTAACAGTTGACAAAGTAGAAAATCCCCCCAAAAACATTCACCTTCTATGTTATTAATACAATCAGTTTTATCGTATGTCAGCTATTTAGCAATGAACTAAATTATTTAGTTTAAACTCTAAACTCCACCCAGAACAGAAAAGCAAACAGATGGCTCGCCAAAATCATGGCTTTTAAAATTTTGAATCGCTCTAAAATATTAGCTTGTGACAAATTAAGTTTAATTTTCCAAGGGTGTTACAAGAATTTGTTCCACAAAGCAAGTCAGTATGTGCAGGTACTGAGCCACAAAAAACCCCAAATAATTCTGATTGTGTCATGGTGACAAAAAGAACCTTTTTGCTTTGTACAAACACCCGTGTCCTGCTTCGATGTTTGCACAAGTCGCGTGCCCCGCGCCACCCGTGTATTTCCAGAGCCTCTCGAATAGTTTCGTGTCTAACAAGTGGTAAAACACTCAGGAGTTTGGGGCACGTTAAAATTTAATACTCACCTTCAGTACAATTTCATTGACAGTAGCAGCATCTGATTCAAAGTAAAGGTGTTTGTAGTCGTGATTGCTTAGATATGTAAGTTTAAATATTGCATGACCTGTAAAGATAAGGAAAAAAAAAACCCAACAAACTGTTCAGAATATTCCCGTAAAGTTTCAGCAGAGCTTGTGTGCCTGACAGAAGAAAAACACAGATGGTGATCTTAGCATACCATCAGCACAACAGAAGGAAGCAATGAAACGCTGACAGGCTTCTCATGTCATTTCAATTTAAGGCAAGTGGTGGCTTACAGGAGCAGCTGAATTCTACTCAATAAAGTTCATTTTCCCATCACATCCCCACTGCAGGAAATGCAAAAATCTATCAAATGGCTAGTTAGCTCCCGTTCAGCCCAAGACTGCATTTCAGTTAAACTACCGCATTAGGACTACTTTATGTAACTATCCGCTGTACAATCAGAAGGTAAGTGGTATATTTAAAATAAAAGGTTAATTAACCCCAGAATCATCACTCCAACATCACCCAAACCTTCCCAGCTGCCGACGGCAAAGGGACACGTCACCACTGGGAAACACAAAGGGACGCAGCACGGGTGCTGTGAAACAGGCGCCCGAACCCAGGAACGTCCCTTCCTACCAGCAGGACACTCAAAATTCAGGCACAGCTGTAATTTCTCTCCAGGCAGCACCTCCCTGTGTTTCTCAGGCACAGTCCCACCGCAGTTTGAAGTGACTCCACGGGCAGGAGGTGCTGCCAGCCTGGCTGCCCCCGGAGAGCGGCACGGGCGCTACCGACCTGCCACAGCACGGCAGGCGGGACGGGAGGGACGGCTGGAGCAC